ATCGATGCAGAAGCCCTCGAATCGCGCGTTGCCAGTCAAATTCTTGTCTTCCTTCACCATGACGTAGGTCTTTCCTGCAGAAGATTGGATCGTATTGATAGATCGTAGAATCGTGTTCATCGTGACAGTGGCATTGCAGGGGGCAATCTTTAAAAGCCCTTATTTCCGCGCGAGAAAGCCGTATCAAAGGGTGGGGATGAGAAAGCCGACGTTCAATGCGAATATATGGCATTCTGATCTTGTTCCTCAAACATTTCTTTTTTCCGAACGCCAACCATGAATTTTTCATTTTCCCAGAATACATACGATGACCGATAAAACGTTCCCTTCAATAACTAGGCTCCCTTTTTGATATGACAGCCTGCTCTCTCCGCTTTAACATCTAAATACGCTTAATCCCGCTCTTATTTCTTTAGAAACTGGTCAAAATTTTGTTTATTCAATTATTTATTCGTTTATTTGGATTTATCACAACAGAATCAGGGTGCCTAGCGGTCAGGGAAATCTGGAAAACCGGCATGTCAGGGAATTTTATAAATCTGGAATTGTCAGGGAAAAGTCGGGAAATTTTACTATTTATCGGGATTTTTTCATATTCTTTATTGGTATCGATAATTGAATTTTTTTATTAAATAAATATAAACTCTTTCTCGACTACAGCCACACGCTAATGTAGAATTAATTAAATATTTTTTTGTGCAGGCATTGTCAGGGAATTTTATAAATCTGGTGGAATTGTCAGGAAAAAGTCAGGAAATTTTACTATATATCTGGATTTTTTGTACAATGCATTTGTCTCAATTTTTTATTAAATAAGTATAAATTTTTCCCAGCACGCTAATTTTCTATGTTAAAAATCGTTCATCTACAACGTGTTTGTTAATTTATTTTCATCGTCGTGTTATTTTATTTCAATGTGTTTGATAGAGACGAACTAAAAAATTTGATATATAAAAAAAAAAAATGATTATTTAAATAGTTTATAGTGAATGTTTGTTTTGATTATGCAGATTGTATAATTGTGTGATTTAAATTTTTGTTTCTTAACTTTCAACCTTTTATTGTTGACAAAAATATTTCAAGGATTTCATGATTTAACATTTTCATAATTGATTTATCATATAGATATAAAATTATGTATTGGAAAAATAATACTAAAAAGTGGGAAAAAATTAATTTCTGGTCTTGAAAAATCTGAAAAAATCAGAGAATTTTTTTTCATTGAGCACACAGAAAAATACATATATATATATATATATATATATATATATATATATATATATATATCCGCAAATATATAAGTTCATCATAAGCATCAAATTTATTCAAAGTGTTTTTAATGCTAATAAGTTTGATATACTTTAATGAAAAATATTAAATTAAAACAAATATTTCTATTTGTTTTTTTATCTACTTCTTTGATAAAAGTTTATAATATTCTTAAAAAGAAAATAATTTCTTCTTTGAAAATATGATAATGAGTATTCTAATATTTGTGATGAGTTTACCTTAAGTCTATTAGAAGAAAATATTTTTGTTTAAATCTAATTGTTACTTAAATAAGGGAAGTAAAATGAATAATTAGTTTTCTTAGCAATAGAATGATATTTTTCCGTGTGAGTCTGCTGAACACTCTGAGGATACAATTAATTACAATTTTTAGTACCTTCTATTTAGCGAATACTCATTTTTCTTATCAATATTTAATACGCAATAATCGAAATAATTGAACCACGCTTTATACACTTTTATACGAGTCGCTGAGAAATCATCTCGAAAATACTTGCTCAAACTGTTTACTCTCTGGCTTAAATGTGGAATATCTCATCTCCGCGCGGCATAACAAAATTTATCCAGGCCCGTTTAAGCAGCTTTCATATCACACGTAATCAATGTTCGCGCAATATCCTGCTAATGATTAATTTGAACGTGCATGTGGGTCACAAACGCGGCTAATTTGGGTACAAGGTGTCATTACCTCTCTCGTCATTACTACGAGAGTAATATTCGTCCGCTGTGGTCTCGTAAAAGGCGTCCAGATCCGTAACATTAATACCGGACCCGGATTCCATTCGCCGACTTTAACGAGCTCCTCCTTCTTCAGTTTCAAAAGGTCTAGTTTAAGTTGGTTCGCTTCCTTCATTGAATTCGATATGTCCGGTTAATCCGTGTAAGCCTGCCTGCAACAGAATACCTCGCATAAACCTATAAAAAAATGATTGCCCCTTCAAACGCGATTATATATGTACAGAGTGTCTCGTTAAAAAATGCTGAAGCTAATCAGCTGTTATTTTTCAATGCATGCAGTTTTGGCGAAAACAAAAATGGATTGAAAAGAGGAAGGTCTACAATTTTTAATGGATATAAATAAAATGTTTGTATACCAGTTTATTTTATTGAAAAAAAGTAATGAAAAAAGTGCTAATAATCACATATAATTGCGTGCATTAAAAAATGACAGCTGATTAGTTATTGCATGCAGTTTTGGTGAAAACAAAAATTGGATTGAAAAGAGGAAGGTCTACAATTTTTAATGGATATAAATAAAATGTTTGTATACCAGTTTATTTTTTGAAAAAAAAGTAATGAAAAAAGTGCTAATAATCACATATAATTGCGTGCATTAAAAAATAACAGCTGATTAGTTATTCAGCAATTTTCTATGGGACACTCTGTATAAATAATATAGCGATATTTTTCGCGTCTCGCGCGTTATAAATTTATTAATTATTGATACACTGTACACGAGTAAATGCAAGCTCTCCCTGATAAAATGCATGCTACAGTGAACATTGCTTTCATGAAAATGCATGTAGCTCAGCTGTATAATTCTTGCCGAAGCTGTATATCTTTGCTATTTAAATATAGGTACATAGGTGCGTGTTGAAAATTGCATTTTTATGTAAATAGCGATCTTCCGCGATAGCAATATCTCGAAGTCGTGCAGTGTCAAAAGAGTCAAGCCCCTTTCAAGTCGAGTGAAACGCGAAGAGATCGAAAGAAAAAAAAGAAGAAAAGAAAATAACAAAATTCTCATACGGTTTTTCCGCAACATTGCTTGTTTAATGACAAATGCGGCCGCCGGATTCGCCGTTCGTTAAATCACGTGCGTCTGATGCCCCGTTAAATTTATTTTTCCTCCTGTGTCTAGTAACTCACGAGGATACGCATACATACGCGCATACGATTCATTGCTGACGGCCTACATTTCCGGCCTGCGCATGCAAACCGGGCGAAATTTTTCGCATTAATTACCGTTTGCGGTCTACCGGCGGTCTCCGCACCAGTTTATTTGATTTACATCTCTTTTTTAGCGTACTATGTATATCTGCCGTCTCGCTGGCGAGGCTGGCGGAATATTCCATCCGAAATGTGGGTGGCTCCTTTCTAAACTCGGCTGTTTAATCTGTGCCGAGAATAAACCTCTCTTCGCGTTAAAACAAAAAAAAATATATATATATATTTATATATATATATATATTTATATATATATATATATATATTATATATATATATACTTGTGAAAAGTACTGTATATATATATTTACAGTACTTTCCACAAGTTTGGAAACACCTTACATTTTACAGTTAAACATAATCGTATGGCAGCGATCTGTGTAGATTTTTTGTATGAATAAATCGTAAAATATTTAAATGACATTTTTATTTATGACAAATTTTATTTTTTTTATAATCATTTTTAATTAATAACATTTCAAATAATATACTGATAAAACATTAAGTTTATATTCTTGCATAATTACGAATATCTAATTAAAGAATATTTCTTTAGAGAATTTTTCTCCTAAATTAAGAGGATCGTTTTGACAGATCTGTGCAGATTTTTTGTATGAATAAATCGTAAAATGCTGCCATGCGATTGTTTAACTGTAAAATGTAAGGTGTTTCCAAACTTGTGAAGGGTACTGTATGCAATAAATAACAATGTCCATTTATAAGACTTTTTGTTATCACGATTAATAATATTTCAAATAATATACTGAATAAAAAAAACATCCTATTAAGTTTATATTATTGCACGAATGTTTATATTATTGTTACAAATATCCAATTAAAAATATTTCTTTAGAGAATTTTCTCTTAAATGAAAAGGATTCTTTTGACAGATCTGTGCAGATTTTTTTGTATGAATAAATCGTCAAATAAACGTCAAATATTTAAATAACATTTTTATTTATGACAGATCGCTGCCGTGCAATTGTTTAACTAAAATTTAAGGTGTTTCCGAACTTGTGAAGGGTATTGAATATGTATATTCTTTTAACGAGGAAATAGTTTTTGTCGAAACTTTGTGCAACTATTCCGTTTAACCAAAGGAATTCATTTTGTCTAATGTATAATTGATGATCGGGGAATTAACAGCATTCTTCGTTTTCTGATTTCATACAATGAAATATTGGCTCGTTCTTTCTTTTCTTTTTTTTATCGCCGAGTAACGCGCGCCGAGGATTCTTCGAATATCTATACCTAGGTATGGCTGACCTATGGGCTGATATATGTATGGTTGTATCACTTTAAGTACACGCCTCGCGTTTTATTCCGCTCGTATAATCCGGATTCGTTCGAGGATGATAATGGTATACGGAATGTGAAAACGCGAGTGGGTTTTACTACACAAAAACTGTATAACAATTGATGTTGCATCCGCATTGAGAATATGGATCAATTCGGGGTTGGATTTTTTCGCGGTTATTCCACGTATTCACATATGACTTAATCTATCGCAATGAGAATAGAGATCAGTCTGAAAATAAAAATATTTTAGTTGTTTCGTTTCTATACATATACAAATTAAAAATTTTATTAAAAATTATTTTCTTACATTTTTTCACGTCTGCAATTATTCAACATAAAATATTCATATAACGCAGGTTAAATTAATATTGATAATTTATATAAATAATATATTATATAAATATCATATTTATATAAATTATATATGAATAATATTATATATAAATAATATTATTAAAAATTTATTAAAAATTATTTTCTTACATTTTTTCACGTCTGCAATTATTCAACATAAAATATTCATATATGCAGATTAAATTAATATTGATAATTTATATAAATAATATATTATATAAATATCATATTTATATAAATTATATATGAATAATATTATATATAAATAATATTAATAAACACATTAGTAGCGACTCGAGGAAAAATTTCATCGGCTTCGAAAAATTATTAACACTGCTTGAGATTGTTATGTATTTTCGTAGCAGAAAAATCCGTTGCGAATCGAGCTACGAATTTTTACGAATTTACGGTTTGACGGAGTTATTTCAATAATATTTACAAAGCTCTATATATCTTTAATTATTTCGTAGGGCAATCGTCATAAAGTCACAGCTTGACTGCCGAGAATTTTAGCAGTGAAAATTTAGCCTGAATTTTTTTTTTTTTTTTTATTTAATTACTCTGTCGATGACTGCGATCGATAAATCTTCACTGCGATATCTCGTCAGCGTCGACGTCGACGAGCCAGTCGAAAATATGCCGATGCTCGCGAAACAATTGGCGGCAAAGCGCTACCGGAAGTGACCGAGTCGGTGCCGCATGTATTTACGATACTCGACCTACTCTCGCCTGACGTATACGCACGTTAATTGCGCCATCATATGTACATATCGCATCGATATGTACATATGATGCATATACATACTCGCTGCGTACACACGTATTCTACGTAACAGAACACGCGAAATATTTTTCCGGTAACATGTTGTTACAGGGATCTAGTTTCAAAAAGAAGAGAAGAAAATTCAAACTGCGTTTATAAACGGACCAATTTCAAGTATTTTAGTTTGTTTACTGCAATTTTTATTTTTAGTTTTGTTAGAATCGGTAAAATATGCGGTTGTTTTTCGAAATTGAATATTATAGAAAAGTTATAGAAATAGCGAGAGAGAAAAATGGACAAAGGTTCTTATATTTTCAATGCGAAAAGCTGGTAAAATTGCATATACAAAATAGAATTTGAAATACGCTCGATTGAAAAGTAATAAAGCATGTTTCATAAAATTTTCGATATCTCTTTTATTAATATATGGATTAATCCTCTGCAATTAGTAAAACATCTATTGATTGGAACAATATTTTTAATATTTATATCGAAAAGTGCATGTTATTTGTAAAACCAATAAAATTTTTCGTAAATAATTAAATCGCATATAACGCATTTTACAAGTTCGAAATTTTTCATTGCTTTAGCTTATATAAAAAAAAAGCTTGGCTTTGTTATTTCAAATTGAAACTTCTGCGCGCTATATTTTCATGCGTGTTGTTTGTGTTATGCTATTCAGTTTATGTTACGTATATATTTATCCAAGTCTATAGCTCGAATTGGTTTGTGCATTTCCAACTTCGCCTATTCGCATCCATGTACACTATGATAGAGAATTATATTCCTGTTCGCAGCTAACAGATATCAATTTGCGAGCGTTCAGTAATAGAGATTCACTACGCTGTTTGTAAATTCACTTATCCAAAAGTTGATATCGTGAAAGCATATTGCACGACATTATTTTGTTATCGCTATTATTATATATTTCATGTTGAAATAAGGAAAACTGTTCGATTTAATTAAACATACACGTTATAAACTCGTTTATTAATTGAAATTGTTTTGTTTCATTAGCAGAATATTGAATCGACACATTATTCTGATCAGAATAAATCTTTTCCTCAAAAGAATAAATTGTAAAAGTAGGCCTCGAAGAATCATTTCAATATTTTTGTTGGTATTTAAAATTTTAAACTCGCTACTGAGCGTTATATATTAATTATATTACATAATTAAAATTTTATTCATTAATACATATTAATTATAATTGTACAAAGATAAAAATTATTATACCATATAATATTATCATAGTATAAATGGAATAAAATATGAATACATTATGAAAGTAAAATAAGATATTATTACAATGCATTCGAAAATTATCCTTCGTAATTTATTTAAGGGAGAAATAATTTATGTGGAATAAAGAAAATTTTTAATTTTTATTTCAAATATAACATAATCATATTAAAAGCGATGCAGTATCTATACGCATAGCTGCATTTTTGCAAGCTAAATAGATTTTACATATTTTACATATTTTACAATGGTTGATTAATCATTTTATATTTTGAGCCGGTTGCT